GAAGATGCAAAGTGACTCTAGGCTGCTTCCTTTCCAAACTGACCTCTCTTTTAAGGAGTAAAATTACCTCCTTTTCAAGCAGAAGCAAAGACTTCTGTCCCCTATAAATATCACAATGAGCAGAAATGCCTGGAAATAAAACTGCCACTCTCGGTGCCACATTAATGTCCATACCAAACTCCAGAATAGTCCTCTAGAAGGAGGAGATTTATTTTTTACGGCTCAGTAAAGAATCACCTCCAGTATTTATAGCTAGGGGGAAATTGACTTGCATTTATTTACAGCTGCTGATATCAAGCTCAGAAAGTCTTTTTATTTCACCAGATCAGAATTTGCTTTCAATGCCAAAGATGTGCTCAAAAGTTTGAAAAACCAAAAAGTGACCCCTGCCACTATTTATTTTCACGTGTGTGTGTGTGTGTGTGTGTGTGTGTGTGTGTGTGTGTGTTGAAAAACACCACCAGGCCAAGAGCAGCCTGCCTGGAGTAGACCCCACTCTTTCCTGAGAGCTGGCAGTTCTTGCGTCTACAGAATGTGATCCACTATAGAGCAGATCCCTTCTTTGCATCCTCTTCTCCTTAAGACCCAAACTGCAAACTAGCCTGGTCTGGTTGGAGTAGTAACTATTGGTGGTTAAGCATATTGAGACGGTTGAGGTTTAGTTCCAGGAACACAGAAGGGCAAAGCCAAAGAGTAAGGGAGTCCCAAGTAGAAATAGACGCAGGAGATGGATATGGAAGAGGACAAGTCGAAAGAAGAAGCGGGGGGGGGGGGGGTAAAGGTTGGAAAACATTGCAGAGCAACAGGACATGAGAACCTTCAAAGAAGAAACTTCCCTTTGGTAGAACATACCACAAAGAACGGACCTGGCTAGAATTCATCTACTTACGGGCTTAGGTTTGGCTTGAAATTTTTTTTTAATTCTACCACAGTATCCTTCTAGACCAGGGGTGTCAAATTTGATTTCATTGAGGGCTGCATCAGGATTGTGTTTGACCTTGGGGAGACTGGGGGCCATGGCCAGCTCGATGTCACTCGTGTCAGAGGCACCTGAGGCGGCCCTTCCCTCAGACCCTCCCTCCCTCTCATTATAATCCTTCCTTCCTTCCTTCCTTCCTTCCTTCCTTCCTTCCTTCCTTCCTTCCTTCCTTCCTTCTCTTCTGTTTCCTTCTGTCTTCATTCTCCTTTCTTCTTCCTTCCCCTCTTCCCTTCTTTTTCCTTCCTTGCTCTCTTCCCATCGTTCTTTCTTTTTCTTACTTTTTCCTCTTTCCCTTTCTCCTTTCCTGTCCCTTCTTGCATGCTCAAATGCATTTCTCCTTTTGTTTTGTTTCGTTTTGCTTTTAGTTTGTTTTGCTAGCCCTCCACCAGCAAAAACAGAGCCGGGGGGGGGGGGCGGCGTGCACACACACCCCGGGCCCCATTTTCGGCTGCAACAGCCTCCTGAAGCCATTTGCCAGCCAGTGAAAGCAGAGCCCGCTACGCCACCAGGCACAGCCTTCCCAAGCCCTGTTTTCTCTGGCAGAGGCCCTGTGGGCTGGTCCTTTGCTGTTTCCAGGGCGGGCCAGATCTAAGTGGGCTGGATCTGGCTGTGGGCGTTGAGTTTGGCCCCCTTGCTCTAGACCATCTTTCTGGAGTCATGATGTAGTCCCTCCTATCCAGAAGATCCACCTTAGAAAGTGCGGAAGGGTCTGTCCTCATAGCCCCCATTTTATGGGATGCTACAAAGTTCTCTCTTGCTCACTGTGCTACTCACACGGGCTACTCACTGGGTAGCTTAGGTGGACATTTCATCAGTGCACGGGCAATGCTCTGCTCAACTCTTATTTTCTATCTACAGTTTCCAGGGAAGTCGAAAGACTTTTAGGTTGATATATGAAAATAGTTTGGACTGAGCAAGCTAAAACTTAAATCCAAAATAAATATGGATACCTTTCAATAGTATAAAGCTCACAGTTAGATTTAGACAAGGTTGTTCTCCTTGGACAGATTTGGGACTTCTCTTCAAGTTAACCCTACATGGAGAAGCTTGGAGTGTGTCCTTTTGGCAGGGGACACGGCCATATCGAACTCCACAATGAGGCAAAGCCAGGGTACCTATCAGAAATATACCTTATCTAGCTCTGCTTATCATCAAAGTGATTAGAATGAAGATTTATATTGCAATATCATGATATAAACCCTGGTCATTCATAATTGTGTCCTGAACTGGACACAAGAAGGACACAGTTTGTGTTGCAATTTCACAACCCAACATTTTCCTCCTTTGGCCTCCCCCATCCCCCAATCCATCCAATAATTTTCACTAGGAGGGAGAGACGAGAAACAGAAGGGAGCCACCGGAAAACTTTCTATTCCGAGAGTCCATGTGCTCAGCTCTGGGCAACAAAGAGCTAATGCCCTGAATAGCGGCTGATTTCTCATTGTGTTTGACTGAATTATTGCTTCCTGCTGAGTAAGCAGAGGCTGCTGCGAAGACTGTAGAAGGAATATAAAAACTCCCAATTTCTCCGGAAAAAGGAAAGGGGGAGAGAACTAACAGAAAGTCGTCAGGCAAGTTCAACATGTGAGAGCTCAAGGAGAGGTTTCAGGTTTCTCTCCATAACACTCCTACTGAAAGCAAGCACAGGTAGGAATTCCATACACAAATCAGTACATTTATTGCACACACACAAAAAAGCTTACAAAGTTGTTAAAAAAAGAATCCCAGTAAGTGTTGTACATGAGATGGAAGTGATACGGCGAAATTAAAGTTTAATTTTGGCATGTTTTCTTCTCCCTTCTAGTATATAAAGTGTGGTAGCTTTGAAGCCCTTCTCTCGATCAGAGGGGTGGTTTTCTTCTACGTCTCATCATTACAGGCTGTTTGCTTCTGGCCTCATCAGACTTGGTTTTCCCACCACTTTCCACCCCTTCTTCCTCCTTGGGAGAACTCAGTGCTATTGCATTCCCTTTCTTCTAGCCAGGCGTTTTCTCACGAACCTGAAAAATCCTCCTCTTCTCCATCTCCCCGTCTAGTCCTGCTAAAGCAGGGGTCCCCAATCCCAGGCTGTGGCTCACCAGCGGACCATGGCCTATTCGGAACTGAGCCTCACCAGAGGTGGGCTGAGGCATGCCTGCGTGTGTGCACAGCTCCACTCATGCAAGCAGTGCCCCAAAGGCTTCTCTTCTCTCTTGTGTGAGTGGAGCGGCGTGCGCACATGTAGGTGCCGGGCTGCTGCTTGTGCAGCCCAGTTCCTCTCTCCTTGCACCCAGTCGGGCGGCCAACCCATCTTTCCCAATGCTCCAAAAGCAGACCAGTCAGAGCAGAGGCTGAATGGGATGAGTGCACCCTGCTCAGCCTTGCTGACTTAGTGAGGCTGCCTGTGCAGGACACCTGATCTGCTCTTGAAGTGTCGGGCAGCCATGGCGAGGCTGAAGGAGCATGAGACCCTGTCCCCAAAGGGGACGATCTCATGCTGCTTCAGGCCTTTCATCTCTTTGCAAAAGCTTTTGGTGCAGAGAAGAAGCCTGGGGGACAATGAAACTGCACCCCTCTTCTCTCTTGTGTGAGTGGAGCTATGCACGCATGTGTGTGCACCAGCCCAGTTCCCCTCTCCCCCTCCCCAAGCTGCAAAGGTTGGGGGCTGCTGTCCTAAAGGAAAAACCATTCCTTGCTTCTCATCCCAGAGAAACAGGAGGAGACGGCAGGTAGCAGCCACCTCAAAACTTAGTAGTTCATATAACCACAAAGGCGTTGCTTGGGGTAGCATTTATGTCCTCTAATTTACCATTGCATTATGGTTGATGTGCTGAGGGACAATAATATTTGGAAGTTGATAAAGAGTTCTCCAAACTCAGAGTTGAATCTCTGTTGGAAATGAGATTGTTTGGGATGCTTTCAAGTCAGAAAACCTAACCGCGGGACAACGGGGCAATCTCTGCTATGGAAGGGAGGCCCCTACAAGAGATGAAATGAACCATCTTCATGAAAAGGTCAATGAATGACTATCCAGGACTTTGACATGTGTTAAATCAGCAATCTAATCCAAGGATGCCAAATCCCAAGGACTCTTATGGAGAGATAATGGGATGCATCAGACTGGCTGATTTGGTAATTAAAATTTTTGGCAAAGCAGCAGATTTGCCAAGAAGAATTCAGAAGTAGTCTTAAATAAGGTCCAGCTGGGCAGTTGTGATGATGCAACCATAAAACTTCCTTGCCTGGGTAGGAGGAATGTATAACTGGCCCCTCGGATGTCATTCTCCCTGATTCCAAGAAAAAGGGGAGGATGAATCTCTAAAGATCATCTATCTGAGCACCTAGGAAAGCATTCTGTGCTGCTACTGCATAAGGATCTGTTTGCTGTGCCTTCTGGTTCCCAGTGTATCACAGCACACTGTTCTTGGCAGATGTGGGAGGAAGGTCATAGGGACAAAATATTCAGACCTGCATGAAAGTCCATCAGCTTCCTTGCTCGGAACTAGGAATGTGAGTGAGTGAATGTTAGCCTCCCAGAGTTCTTGAGAGTCAGGAGGCATACAAGTTTAAATATTTCTCAAAAAATTTGAGGGGAAAGATAAAACCCGGGAATGGCTTACCACTAGAATATTAAAACAAGAACACAAAGGCTTGATTTTGGCTCCTCAAGAGCAAGCTATTCAAGGCCCCCAAACAGAAAAATCATCAAATGATTTAAAGTACAGATTGTGGAAAGAGGCAGAAGAAACAGTAGATTATAGCCCGTGCAAGAAGATTGCACAAACTGATTATAAACAACACAACCCGGGAAAATTACAACTAAAAACAATACTTTCGAATTGCCATGTAGTTCTTTCAAGGAAGCAAGAGAATTGCATAATGAAATTGTCATGTGTAAAAACCCTGCCTCCAAATTAGTTCTTAATCCTGAACAACATATCCCTTGTCTGAGAAAGAAAATATCTTATTATGAATGTCCAGAAAGAGGTACACTGCCCCGAGGCTATAAAAAGGAACGGAGAAAGAAAAGGAAGGAACTTACAGCTTTGGGCTTGAAGGGAGGCTGGATTTCTTTCTGCTCGAGTTTGTCCCAATCAATATATCGGAAGAAGGCGTGCTCCTTGATATCCCGTTCTCCTTCCGGGCCACACCCCAACCGCTTAGCTGGATGCTTGGTCATGAGCTTGGAAAAAAGGAAGAGAACACGGTTCACCTGTCATCTTTCAGAATGAAAGCACCAGAGTCAATAACTATCATCCTCAACCCCTAAATATTTTCCACAATGTAATCCTGCTATCTGACCATAACAAAAACCTCTAAAGACTCAGCAAAATATTAGTGTTTTGAATCCTCAAGGCATTCCAAGGTGGGCAGCTCAACTTCAAGGAAAAGGTGCTCCATAGATGGGGTAACAACAGTAATTGGGACTGGAATTTCTTTCACTAAACAATGTGAACAATTCAACATCTCATGACCAAACCAAAATCAGGTAATTTCTGTTGCTGTTATTAACTGAGTCCCACAACAGCAGGTCTCCTTTGGGAGTCTCAGAGCACTGGAGTTTGCCATGTGTGAGTAGGAGAGGACCGGGAGCAACCTTCTTGCAAGCTTTGTGAAGGCCTCAGATGCATTGAAAGAAGGCAGCGCATGATTTGGAGACGTGTGCATGCAGCCTTGGGAAGAAGGCCCGGAGTGGCCAGCAGCTATCTCTGCTAGGGCCAGGCCAGGCCAGGTGAGACGCATATGGTCAACATATGGGAGGGAGAAGATGGTGAAAGTCAGCTGGAGAGACAGGGGCGGTGGGGGTTTTGTGCTGTGGTGTCAGGGTGGCTGGCTATGGTGTGGAGCTTGAAGTTGTACTCGTTGGTAGCAATGGTGGGGCCAGGAGCACTGGGCCTGGCACCTTCAGCAGTCTCAACTGGCAGCTGCTGCCCCTGAGCCTTGACGTCAGCCCCAGGGCCACCAGAGCTGCCCCCCACACTCACACATACATGACTGCATTTCAGGCACTTGGCAACTGGCTTGCAGCATTATGCAGTCACACAACTGTAATTTACAAGACATTTTTAACAGATTAACAGATTTTGGAAGGGACCTTGTACATTATCTAGTCCAACCCCCCACCCAAGTAGGAGACCCTATACCATTTCTGACAAATGGCAGTCCAATCTCTTCTTGAAAGTCTCAAGTGATGAAGCTCCCACAACTTCCGAGGGCAACTTCTGTTCCATGGGTTGATTGTTCTCACTGTCAGAAAGTTTCTCCTTATTTCCAGGTTGAATCTCTCCTTGTTCAGCTTCCATCCATTATTCCTTTTCTGGCCTTTGAGTGCCTTGGAAAATAGCCTGACCCCTTCCTCCTCTCTGTGGCAGCCCCTCAAATATTGGAAGACTGCTCTCCTGTCTCCCCTGGTCCTTCTCTTCCCTGGACTAGCCAAGCCCAGTTCCTGCAACCGTTCATCGTAGGTTTTAGCCTCCAGTCCCCTCATCATCCTGGTTGCTCTTCTCTGCACTTTTTCTAGAGTCTCAACATCTTTTTTATAGTGTGGTGACCAAAACTGGATGCAGGACTCTAGGTGTGGTCTTACTAAGGCTTTGTAGAGTGGTAGTAGTACCTCTCTTGATCTTGATTGTATCCCTCTGTTAATGCAACTTAGGATCGTATTGGCTGTTTGGGCTGTTGTCACACACTGCTGGCTCCTATTTAGCTGGTTGTCCACTAAGACTCTAAGATCTCTCTCACAGTTACCGCTATTGAGCCTGGTTCCACCCAGTCTACATGTGAACTTTGGGGTTTGTGAGGTTTGTGGTCCTTTAGGCCAGTTTCTGGCAAAAAAATGCCTCTAGGAATACATTGATTTGCTTAATGACTGTGCCATTCACTTAAAGACAGGTTCTCCCTGGAGAACCTGTTGTGTTACTGTAGTGTGTCATATCACTTCCCCTTGTTAGACACATTCCATTGACTGTGCCATTCACTTAAAGACTGACAAAAGTCATACAATCTAGTCCAGTCAGATGGATGCCTTGACATATGACTGTTATGATATACAATGTAAATTTCTGGTTCCATTATGGTTGTTCAGTTGAGGGCTATCTTTAATTCTCCTTTATTACAGGGCTACGATGTTAACTGAATCTTGCAAGTCTGAAAGTACAAATCTCCCACTGTCACTTTTTACCATCTGAATAGTTGGGATGGAACTTTGATGAAAGGTTTCTTTCTCTGCCTGTTACTTAGTTGCAGACTCTTCTCCCTTTTATCTGCTCATTTGGTTTAGGCAATATCTCTACTTCCCTCTTCCAAGGTTGTTCTTATATTCCGTCAGTTCCAGCCCAAGAAGACATCATACAATCCAGCCAAAGTTCACTTGTTTACTTGCTAACAACATAAAGAGAAAATCTTGCCAGACTAACCTATCCTACTCTAATCTAATGGATGAACCTAGTAGATTCTAGAGAGTGGCTATCCTAAACCTCTTCCTCTTCCCATGATTCAACTCCAGAGTGTGCTGTCTGAAGTCTCACCCCGTCTTTGGAAGGGGCTCCATTCTCCCTGGAGAACCTGTTGTGTTACTGTAGTGTGTCATATCACTTCCCCTTGTTAGACACATTCCATTACCTATTCCATTACAAGCACTGCTGCAACTTCCTGAAAGAATGGTTCTTAAAGTGAGGACTACCTGTAACTAATGGAAGATCCAGAAAGACTGGGGTTATCTGTATAAGGTGGCTCTTAGGGATCAAAAGGCAGACTGGATTTTTGGCTAAACTGCAGTTTTCATGTAGTCTTTAACAGCAACACAAGTAACAATCCAATCTAGAATGAATGAGGCTCCTAGAACTTCCTTCTCTGAAGTGGACAGAAACTCTTCTAGCCCAGCTGGTTATGGTTTAGCAGGTTACTGAACAATGTTCTGCTGATACAATATGGAAAGTGATGGTGTTTTGCATCTCTTGTCACCACATTTTAAGTTGGAGGATGAGTCAGAGTACAGAGAAGAGCAACCAGGATGATTAGGGGACTGGAGACTAAAACATACGATGAACGGTTGCAGGAATTGGGCATGGCTAGTCTAGGGAAGAGAAGGACCAGCGGAGACAGGAGAGCAGTCTTCCAATATTTGAGGGGCTGCCCCAGAGAGGAGGAGGGGGTCAAGCTATTCTCCAAAGCACCTGAAAGCCAGACAAGGAATAATGGATGGAAACTGAACAAGGAGAGATCCAACCTGGAAATAAGGAGAATTTTTCTGACAAAACAATCAACCCATGGAACAGAAGTTGCCCTCGGAAGTTGTGGGAGCTTCATCACTTGAGACTTTCAAGAAGAGATTGGACTGCCATCTGTCAGAAATGGTGTGGGGTCTCCTGCTTGGGCAGGAGGTTGGACTAGATGACTTACAAGGTCCCTTCCAACTCTGATTTTCTGTTATCTGTTATCATAGGGCTCCATCATGTTCACTCTTGAATCCTGAAACCACTGACATTCTAGGTGTTGCTTCAGCTGCTTCATCTCCATAAATCAAGGAACCCTTAAGACGGGTACCCAGAAAACCATCTTATCCTGCACCCTCATCGTCTTGGTCTTGCAAAGCTCAATCAGGCACGTGGGAGGAACTGCCAGACATCTAGCAAACAGCCCCAGTGTTAGGCCAGATGCTGCAAAGTTGAATGAGATGCCCAAGGAAAACAATTTTGTCTGAAATTTCAGGAAACTACTCATAATCTTACATTTAAAATCCCCAAACTGTTATTTTACAGCACTGGGGAAATTTGTTTCTAGCCATCATCCGCAACTGGCACACGGAGCAGTTAACCATCATTTTAAAAGTTAGGATTAGAACTGGAAGGGCTGCTGGCCTCATGCCCACTACCCCTCAGCTACTTATCATTTGAACCCCCAGAAACTCACTTTCAAAAATTCTACACAAACCCTGGTGGCATTCCAAGAGGGGGGTTGTTCAAAGGGAACTAGAACATGGAACAACAGAGTTGGAAGGGACCTTTGGAGGTCTTCTAGCTCAACCCTCTGATCAAGCAGGAGACTTTATACAATTTCAGACGAATGGCTGTCCAGTCTCTTCTTTTTTTTTCCCCAAATTTTTTTATTGATTTTTAAAAAACAAACATAAACAAACAAACACAAAACATGAAAACATAAAACATCTTTTTTGAAAGCAGCTTGATCCCGGGTTACATCTCTTTGTACAGACACAAATTCAAGTTCATGCTCATTTTCATATACCGTTCCATATCTTATTATCATTCTACATTTTCTATATAGCTTCTCCCCTCTTTTAACTCTCTTAATTCTATTTTATTTATTTCATTTCAATTTAAATCATTATACTTATATCCTTTGTCTGTCCTGTTTCAGCTGTCTATTATCTTTTCTCATTAAAACAAAATTTCTCCTGTAATCACTGATTGGAGTATGACGCCTTTATATCTTTCCCCTAAATTTATAACACTTAATATAATACATAACTTTCATTCAGATTCTGCTTAGTACATTCTAAAACTACGCACTATATTTTAAGAAAAGAAGAAATTATAAATGTATAATATAATTAAAACAACAATCCATGCCAGTTCAACTCTATCGTTAAAATTAATATTCATTTAAATCTTAAACATTTTACACATTACTTTTCAAATAAGTATCATGCTTCTATGGGAACACTTATAAATTTTGTGAAGTTACTTTCCCCCATTACACTTATATTTTAAAACATTGTGTCATTAAAATGTTCCCATTCCTTCCTAATTCAATTCTCTCATTTATTTCATTTCATTTATTTTGTTCAAAAAAGTTTCACTAAATTACACTGAGTATTTTATCCCATTTTTTAATCATATATTGTTCCAATTTTCTAACATTATTTCTAATACAAGTATAACAATACAATCTTATGTACCTTTGCAGAATCTCATTTTCAGTTATATTTTTACCTAAATAAGTCCTGTTTCTTTACATCTTGCTCCAAATCTTTGTAACTTCTCTTCCCTTCCTTCCTCCCTTGTTTCTTCACTCTACCTTTTTTACCCCCTTGTCTCTCCACCTCTATTTCCCTCTTCTGTGTTCCCCTTTTCTGTTGCTTTCTGACATTATATCCACTTTTCACCTTATTTTTCCCTTTTTTGGTTGTTTTTTTAGGTCTTAAATTCTTCATTCTCTTTCCCC